ATTCGCAAAACCTATATGTCATTATAAATTGTCGCACCAAACAATGACTGCCTAATTTGAATTACTATATATAAAAAAAATAACCTTCTAATATTGGATAATAATTGCCGAGTTAGTGTGTGGGAGATAAGATAGGTACGTTGTGTGTGTGTGGTACACTCACACCCACTTCAAGAATCTTTACTACAATATCTCAAAACCACAAATTAAACTGAAATAATATCAGTTAATCTACGTAGTTTATTATTTAACTATTGTTTAAAATTTAATACTTTTAATTCTTACTGATGATATAATTTGATAAAAAAATTTAAGATATGAAACAACGAAAAAAATATAACAATATATTAATTAATTGTGTCATTGTCAAACAAAAATATTAAATTTAAAATCAAGGATTAAAAAAAATGTTTAAGTAACTAAATTTAAGGCATTTGAAGAGTTTTTTTTATAAAGTCCCCTTAATTAGTGAGGCAAACAGGAATTGCATTAGAGGGATAGTTATGGGTATTGGCAAGAAAATGGAACGTGCAAGTAGGGTTCGACATTTTGAGGTTGTCGACAGTGACCATCACACAAAGAAGGTCATTGGAGTCTAAGAATGAGACGCAGTACCTTACTTGTCTGTTGTCAAAGTTGTGGGGCGATCAAGTTTGAAACTAGGGAAATGGTGCTGCGTGCTGGCTCTCTCAGTGCTCATTAACGCACGTGTTAAATACTTAATTTTAAGCTTGAAAGAACTGCACCAATTGCTAATTTTTAAAGAAAAAAAATGGTGTCAATGAACAAATATAACGCTCAATAATTGATTTATAATGATATATCTTCTAAATTATGTTAAATTTTGTTATAATCAAATATTTATAATATTATTGTAAAATGGTTTTTATTTTTATAAAATTTAAAAGTAAATATTATATTAATTTTTATGAATATAAATAAGATATTTTAAATTTACTTTTATAAATTTTAAAAATAGATATTATGTTATTTTTTATATAAAATTAAATATTAAATAATTTTGAACCAATATAAAATTTTATAATCTAACAGTTAATTTTAAGATTAAATTATCTAATAAAAATTTACTAAACAGTAACAATTTAAATATTTTTATTCAATAAATTAATTTTATAAATTTTAATATAAAATAAAATTAATAAATATTATTTTTTAAAATATAAATAAATATTAAAATTTATCTGAAATTTAATATACGTGATTACAAAAATAATATTAGATAATTTAATGATTGAATTTATCAATTTTATGTTATATAAAAAATAATTAAAATGAATAAGTGTTGAAATTTTACATTTCATGTCTATAAATCCTAACTCACACGGTATTGTATATATAATAAATTAATATAGGAGTAAGATAATGTTAAATATTATACCAAATTAACAGTTTCGTACTTTTATATAATATTATATAAATATTTGTTATTACATTATTAATGTAATTATAAAGAATATTTTTTTTAAAAAAAATTAAGCCTGTTGAATACTCAAAATGGAGGCCATCAGTAATAATTTTGAACTGATTAATAAAATTTATTTATTTAAAATTAATAGTACAAAACCTAAAAAAAATTATATTGACACCATGAATAATTCCTATTTTGTCTAAACAGATTACTTAAAATATAACGTTTGAGTCTTTCTTCTGAAAGCTCAATCCAATCCAAATCAGAGTTTTGGATTCTTTCCAGCAAGTTTATATGCAGTCACCGACACACTGTCCTTCAACAACCATGTTAGTCACAATACAATGACTAGGGTTCCACCACAACTTGTTGTGGAAAACAATCACTTATTTCTTATTTTTAAAATTAATAAATAATTATTTAAATAAACTAAAATAAAACTTCCTTGATCAAATTTCTAATTATTAACTTTTACATTTTAGTATATTTAAAGTATTTATCATCTTAAAGGTCTAGTTATATTTTCTAATATCATTTTCATTTATAATTTTTTAAAATGGAAAAATATCAATAAATAAATTTATATTGCTATTTTGATTAATTATAAAAATAAATAAATATAAAAATAAGATTAAAATCTTTAATTGAAAGTTGAGAAATTAAAACTCTACTTTAAGTACATTTTTGAAGAATTATAAGTTTAGAAAAAAATAAATTTGAAATAAAATTTTCAATTAATAAAATATTTCTACATAGTCAATATGGTTTTCATATACTTGTTATCTCTTTTTAGGACCGTAGCAGTAGCACATTATCACGAGCAATCTGTAAATAAGAAATTGTTCTCCCATTATTGTACAACAACCTTCATGCTCTGTGTTTCCGATTAATATTAGTCAACCCATCCTTTCAAAAATAAGAAATTATTGCTTTGACAGAACGCATTTTAAGAGGATAAATGGGTGAAATTATTTGAGTTTAATTTATTTAATGTTTGGCTAAGTTTATATATTTAATTAAATAATTAGGTTTAAGTTTAATTATTTAAATAAGTTAATTTTCAATTTTATAAGTTTAATATTGATAGATTGTGCATAATGATGTTAGATTGGAGGCATATGGCAAACAGAAAAGATAAGGACCAGTCCTTTTCTTATGTAGCATTATCTTAAATGATATGATTTAGTGATGTATAAGAAAAAGTTGCCTTAGCCTTTATATCTTCTTATATGGATCGTTTTACACGAGAAAAATCTCAGGCATTGTCTTAAGCACAATATGATTCACGTTGGATTTTCCAAACAGTTGACTATTTTTTGTTGAATTCAAGTGACACAAGTTGGTTTTAAAGGGGAGGGAACCCAAAATTTATATTTTAAATAAATATATTTACAATTAATATTTTTAAAATAAAAAATATAAATTAATATATTAAAATATATATTTAATCTCATAAATAATATATATATTTTAATTTAAAATTTAAAATATATTTATTTTTAAGAATTTTCTTTTAAACATAAAAATTATTTGAAAAGAAGGGATTTAAAAGGGAAGGGAGAAGAAGATAAAATTTATATTTTAAAAAATATATTTAACATTATTATTTATTTAAAAATAAAAAATATAAATTGATATATTAATTAAATTTTATGTATTAATCATTTTTAAGTAATATAGAATTATTTCAATTTAAAATAAAAAAAATATGTTCTCTTCTCCCTTCTCTTTTAAACATTTCAAGTGAATAATTTATTTTAAAAAAATTATTAAGTTAAAATTAATTGTTTGGATATAAAACAGCCTAACACATTGTGTTCCATTCATTTTTTTATTAGTTATGATTAATTTAATAATTTAAACTTTATATTTGTAATTTATTTTATTAAATATAGTGATAATTTTATTTTTTTAAGAATGTAAGTACTTTAATTATTTTATTTAAATAAAATTTTTAATTATTCTGTCTAAATAAAATATTTAAAAATAATAAAAATTTAAATGATATATTTAAAAAATTTTAAATTTGTAAAATGTTTAATTAACTCGTCTAAACATAAAGTGTTTGTTTGGTTCTTCGTCAACAGAGTAATAAAATTGAGTTTTGCCGTGTATTTTTATACTTGAAAAGATTAAATTGACTCAAGCTTCAGAGAAAATGAATAAAAAACTATTTAAACTTAATTCAACTTTAAATTGTAAAACATAAATCCTACAGTTAGTTGTCTTAGACAGGCAGCTTGGTCAAATCGGCCAATTTTATGGATTCTCTTCTAGAAGCAAACTGGTTGAGTACTTATAACAAAAAATGGTATATGAAAAAAATTAAACAATTTTTAAAAATTTTATTTATAAATATATTTTTGGTAGATTAAAAATTTTAGGTTACAAGTAAGTTTTTGGTAATCAAAATATATTTTTAAAATAAATATTATGATAGAAATAAAGTTGATAATAATTTCTTTTTGAGAAGTAGATATTTGGAAAAAACATAAAGAATCGTAAAAGAATATTTTTTCAAAGTTAATTAAAAATATTAATAAATGATAGAGAATCTCGTGGTTTGATATCATGAGAAAATTTGTTTAATCTGGAAAAAAATAATTTTTTTACTATCTAAATTTCAAATTATGTCTATCATACATTATTTTTATTTTTAAATATATTTAAAACTAATTATCTAGAAAATAATAAGGTTAAAATTTAATTATGTAAAGAGTCAAGAATATATATATATATATATATATATATATATATATATATATATTATAATTATAGACTTTGATTAAAAAAAAAGTATTCCACGATTTGATTTTTCAATTTATGTAAATAATAATGAAATAAAATTATACATAAGTGTGTTTATAATTTATGCTGATGAATAATGATAGTAAATTGATTGAAAAAAATAAGATAGTAATATCATTATTTTATGTAAATAATGGTATATAATTATAACTTTAATGATATTTTTGTAAATAAAAATAATATTAGTGTTCATATTATTATAATATATATTTTTTAGTGTTATACAATATCTAATTAATATATGTTATAATAGTAAAAGTGATGCAATAATGTAAAGAATATATAGTATATGATTTGACATTTTTAGTGGGAAAATGGTATCGCTGAAAATATATTTCTAGTTGTGCCGCTCGCGCATTGCAAAAGTATATAGAATATTAAAATAAAAAAAAAAAGATAAAAACTAATATTTTTATTTTAAATTGTTTTTCTGACTTTTACGTTTTTTATAATTTTTATTTTTTTAACAAGTTAATCTGTTCATTATAATAACGTTAAATCTCATTAGATTATTAATGAAAATTAGAATTTGTAAACATTATTGAAATTGACATCAATTATTGTTATGGATACTTTCAATATTATTATTATTGGTCTAGACTGCGAAGATATTATTGCCTAATGACATGAAATAATCTCAAATGATTAACACGTGTCCTTCTTCCCACTGTGACTCCTATAAATATCGCTAATTGATTCTTTTTTGGAGTATCTCTTCCTTTCATTCCACATTTGATATCATTTGAGACCACGCTATCACACTATGGCGCTGCATTTCGAATCGTGCCTTGTCCCTCTCAAACCTCAAATTATTGCCACAAAAGCACAGCTTTCTCAAAGCTTTAATCCTGGCAAACTTGATTCTCTTCTTACTGTTAACAAATGGAACATTGCACAGGATGAAAGGTCTAGAGCGTTATTGATGAAAACAGTATGGCCAAATTTTACTAGTGCTCATTATTCGTTGTTAGAACTTAGAAAGAATGACTCATTAAAACTATTTATGTATTTTCATTTTGACAGGGAGACCTGTGCATTAATCACTCAGAGAAACTGGAAGTGGTGAAGCATGAATTAAGGAATGTGGGTGAAAATTCATGCAAAGGTTTGTACATGGTTGATGCTCTGCAGCGCCTAAATATTGATTACCACTTTCAAGACGAAATTCAAGCATTCCTACTAAGGCAATATTTAAATTCTAATGTTCTTGCCGGCGGCACTGGTCATAATGATATTCATGAGATTGCACTTCGCTTCAGGCTACTGAGACAACAAGGTCACTTTGTGTCCCCAGGTTAGATTTTACAACTATTATTACATTTTTACTCTCATATATATATATATATATCTTTTTTATCCCTCAAATGAGTGCAGAATAATAATTATTTCTAGTTTATAATTCTTGAAAAATGATTATTTTACAATAAAAAAATTGTTATCAGAGAAAAATGTGATAAAATCGAGGTTAAATTCACTTCGAAATTATTTATATTAAAACCGTAAAAGAAACTAGCTAACGTGGGTCAGGTAGATTGAAAAACTAAAAGCATTAAAAATATATATATTATTTTCTTCCCTTTTCCTGGTTAAGTTTAAGAATATTACTTTCCATTTTTTATATTGGAACTCTAAGGTTTGGTCATTGGAAACATGACAGAGGTGTTTGACAAGTTCACAAACAAGGAGGGGAAGTTCAACCCAAAACTAGGTGAAAACGTTCAGGGAATGATAAATTTATATGAAGCCTCACAGTTAAGCATAGCGGGAGAAGACATACTTGAAGAAGCTGGAGAATTTTGTAGCCAGTTGCTAAAGGAGAAAGTGGATTACATTGATATTCATGAAGCTCAGTTTGTGAACAGAACATTAGAACATCCTTTTCACAAAAGCTTGCCCATGTTTACCGCTAGAAATTTCTTCGGTGATTTTCATGGCACGAATCAATGGTTAAGTTCCTTAAAAGAAGTGGCAAAATTGGATTTCACTTTGCTGCAAGGCTTACACCATCGAGAGATTGCTCAAATCTCACAGTATGTTTATTTACTTTATTATTCTGTTTATTTTTAAACAATAGTTTATTCTTTTTAAAAAAAAGCAAACGATTATTTTTCTACTAACCAAATATGCAATTTGATGAACTAGTTTATTTTGTCATCAGAAGAGTGGAAAAGTGTTCAGCATCATTTTTTTTTTCACATATTCGATCTCTTTAATACTATTGATTAAAATTTAATAAAAAAAAAACAAAATTAACGGTCAAACTCATTAAATTAGGAGTGAAATTTACCTATTTTTTTAATTTTCAGAGAAATTTCAACTAATAATATTGTAAGAGAATGCCTGGTTATCATTTATCTGTGTGATTATAAAGGCCAGTAGTACTCACAATTAAACTTATTTGCAGATGGTGGACAGGACTTGGTTTTGCCAACGAGTTAAAGTATGCGAGAAATCAACCACTTAAATGGTACATTTGGTCCTTGGCATGCCTCACTGATCCTGCAATGTCAGAGGAAAGGGTTGAGCTCACAAAACCAATATCTTTAATCTACATAATAGATGACATTTTCGATGTTTATGGGACCCTAGACGAATTAACTATTTTCACAGAAGCGGTTTCTAGGTAAATGCCTAACAATTTAAAAGATCTTATAGATGCATGGAAGAAGAATGCATGATTAATAATAATTGTTGAATAATGCAGATGGGATATTACAGTTACTGAGAATCTACCAGATTACATGAAGTCATGTTTCAGGGTCCTCTATAATGTCACAAACGAAATCAGCTCCAAGGTCTATCAGAAGCACGGGTGGGACCCCTCACACTCACTTCAAAACACGGTAAAGGCTTTTTTATTTGCACGGATAACCTTCTTATTTATACAACAACTTAATTATAAACCCCAATATTAGTTACATAAACACCCACTTTTTCTTTTTAATTTTTTAAAATTAAAGTACATAAATTGATTTTAATTTATATGAAAAAACTATTTTATTCTTTTTTATATTTATTTAAAAATTTATCCAAATAGACTCGTAATGTCTTGATTATGATAGATTGTGCATTTTTTGGTTTGCAGTGGAAGAGTTTGTGCGAAGCGTTCCTAGTTGAAGCAAAATGGTTTGCTTCTGGGAAATTGCCGAGTGCTGAAGAATACTTAAAGAATGGGATAGTAAGCTCTGGAGTGCATATTGTGCTGGTTCACGCTTTCTTTCTTTTGGGTCATGGATTGAACAAGGAAAATGTTCACATCTTAGACACAATCCCAGGCATCGTTTCTTCCCCTGCAACAATTCTTCGACTTTGGGATGACTTGGGAAATGCAGAGGTAAAGACATTTTATTTGTACATATCGTTAACTAGGGCATCAAGCGTTGTGATAGTAACCAAATTACAGTGCCGAAAAACCAAAATCTGGCCTCTTATTGGTTAGCCGTTTAGTATTTCATGGTGATTGGATTTTTTATTTTTATTTTTATTTTTATTTTTATTTGTATAAACATGTTTGAACGTTTAAAATTTGATATCATGTGTGATACTCTATGTAATTATCTTTATTTTATTTTGTATAGAGTCATATCAAAAGTACCCCAAAATTCAAAGAGACTTCAAAAGATGTGTCACTTTAGATGTGCAATAAATGTTTTCTTTTTTGACACATTGATAAATGAACATGTGATGTTTAAATTAACATCTTTAAAAAAAAAAAATATTTAACTTTTATCTCTTTTTATATCAAGTAAACTTAACCATATTTAAAGAGGAAAATATTATTTTTGTTCTTATTTATTTATTCATAAAAAAATTATACAAGCTAAATGATCCAATCATTTTGTTAAAATTATTGATTTATCTTCCTTTTATTTTATTACATTGACATATCTCTTTTTTTACCAATTTAAATAATTCAAAAAGTATAACTTTTTTGTACTTAAAATTTTTATATGGGTAGAAAATATTAGAAAACAATAATTATTAATATTGTGTTGAATTTATATGTGAATAAATAAGTAAGAACACTTTATTTGTTTATTTTCTTGGCAGATAAAAAAAAATAGAGATAATATTATTTCAGATTGAGATTGTTATTTATAAAACTCTTATTGTGACTATGTAAAGGACGAGAATCAACGAGGGAATGATGGATCGTACGTGAAATGTCTCATGATGGATCACCCAGAATACACGATGAGAAGAGCAAGAGAGAAAGTAATGAGTAAGATCTCTAATGCATGGAAGAGCCTCAACCAAGAGTGCCTATTTAGTAGCCATTTTCATACAGCTTTCGCTAAGGCTTCACTCAATCTTGCAAGGATGGTACCATTAATGTATAGTTATGACGACAAGCACTCCCTTCCAGGGCTAGAGGAGCAAGTCAAGTCCTTGCTTTATGATAATGTTCTTTTATAATATTTTGTAATCGCTCTGTCTATATTTGACGGGCCACAGCTCAATAAATGTTTCAGGTTTGTTTGTATCACCGCGTTCTAATCTCAATCGTAATATAAATTTATAGTTTTTTTTTAAAATTTTTTTCTTCTAATAAACAGGGCTTAAAGTCCAAACAAAAATCAGAAACTAAGTAGCTCCTCTAGAATAATAAGTACCTAGAAAATCTATAGTAACTAAAGGAAGTAAATTTAAAGGGATCGACTCTAAAATACAAAGAGGAATTCCTCCTTCAGCTCCTATTTTAGCAAGCCAATCCGCACAATGGTTAGCCTTTCTTAAGACATGACTAAACCTAACAAAACAAATACATTTAATCAAATTCCTAATCTCACTAATAATATAAAACAGAGGATGATTACAACTAAAAAATTTAACAAGCAAAGAGATAGCTTCAAGAGAATTACATTCAATCCAAATCAACTAAATATTAAGTTATACAACTAGCTTGAGCTCCCAGAAAACTCCCCAGAGCTTGGCAGAAAGGGGAGAGCAAGGATCCAGCGTCCTATAGAAACCAGCTAAGAACCTTCCTTTGCTGTCCCGAATAAGGCCTCCGCAGTCAGCAAAACCAGAAAAGTGAGATGTAGCTCCATCCACATTGAGCTTTAGATGAGATTGTAGAGGGGGTTTCCATTTTATTTGAGATTGAGAATCCATCATCCCAGACACCTGTTGAAGCCTGCCACAAAATAGGAAAAAATCAAATTCATATAAAATTTCATACAACAGAATTTCAGCATTAATGTGCAGATTTTGAAACAAAGAAAGGTTCCTATTTCTCCATAACTTTCCAAATAATACATTCCAATGAGGATACCTATGAAAATTATGAGAATCCAGATTATAATCTAGGCAACTTTGCAACCTTTTACTAAAAAAAAGAACCCAGTAATCAGGCAAAACAAGAGAGCTCCAAATCCTTTGGGCAAACCAGCAATCCCTAAGGATATGAATAACAGATTCAACATCCTCCTTACATCTAAAGCAATCAGGAGAAGTAGCCATCCCTCTATTACACCTCTCAACATTAGTTAACAGCCTACCATGAGCAACCTTCCATAGAAAAATAGAGATCTTGGGAGAACCTTCCCATTTCCAAATCTTCTTAAAAACATGATTGATAATTTCTCTACGGTCATTTGTGTCTGCAATCAAATTATAGGCTGACTTGATGGAGAAAATGTCAGGCCTTCCAGTAGAAAAGGTCTTGTTCCCTAGACCCTATACCAGGGGAAATTTGGGAGATGAGAGCACAAATATTTGCAGGCAACAGAGACATAATTTTGGACAAGTCCCAACTATCCTAAGAAAAAAACAAAGCAGCAGGCGCATTCTGTAGAAAATCAGGAATAGGTTGAATAGTATAAGAGGAAAGATTATGGTGACCCTGCACCTAACTATCCATAAATGGGATTGATTTTGGCTAGATTTAGAGCAAAGAGGCCTGCCAATGGCAAAGCTATATTTCCTACTTAGCACCTGAGCCCATAGCTCATGAGGAGAGGTGAAAAGTCTCCACCAAAGCTTCATGAAGAAAGCTTGATTAACCATACGAATGTTCCTAAAACCCAAGCCCCCTTTATCCTTAGGTTGACAAATTTTTTGCCAGCTAATTAAATGACATTTCTTAGTGTTTAAAGACCCCATATAAATCTTTTACAGATAGAATTAATCTCCTTGTAGACAGCTTTAGGTAAGATTATGGATTGCATGAAATAAGTAGGTATACTTCTAATACAAGATTGGGCTAAAAGAACTCTTCCAACCATAGATAAAGATTTCAATTTCCATGAAGAAAGCTTTTTCCTCACCTTATCCACTATAAAAGAGAAGTCTTACCTAGAAGGACTAGTGTGGCTAATAGGCACTCCCAAATAATTACCAAAATGATAGGCCTAACTGAAACCTAAACAAAAGCAAATATCTTGAACTTGAACAAGATAATAGTTTTTAGAGAAGAAAATAGAGGATTTCTCTTGGTTAGCTGTTAATCTAGAAGGTGCAGAAAATGTATTAAGAACATTTCTAATCACTTCAGCATTGGCCCTATCAGCTTTAGCCACTAAAGTTATATCATCAACAAAAAATAGGTGAGAGATTCTAGGACCTTGATTGCTAAAAGGGAATGGGGTCCAACTGCCAGCAGTAACACAATCATGGATTAAATGTCCTCAACGCTCCAGGCAAAGAACGAAAATATAGGGAGATATAGGATCTCCCTGTCTAATTCCTCTAAAAGGTTTAAATTTCTCAGATGTACAATTATTCCATGTCGCAACCGGGCAGTCGCAATGGTACAGTAAAAAAAGCAGGTTTAAGAAAAATATCTTTCAAGAATAAAAATATTTTTCTAAAAAAAATCAGAGGAGTCGCCACCAAAGTTTATTTTAAAAAAATATTGGAAAAACTTTTTTAATATAATATAATCTTTGAAACAAAAAATGAGTTTCTGGAGTCGTTTACGTGTAGGGAAGGTATTGGCATCCTATAACGTCCGTTTAAAAACAGTTACCTTAAATTAATTGTGCAAATTTGTTTTAATTTTAAAAAATATTTATTTAATCCCTAAACAATTATTATTATTATTTTAGAAGAAGAGAAAAAATTATTTATTTAGATGTTAACTTGGCATCTTAAAAAAAAATTTATTTTGACTTGACAGGTATGATTCCCGCTCCTACGTATCTCCGGGTACAATGGAGAACTCAAAGCCACGTAGTTCTATCCAAAAATTACGAAATTGGTTCATTAAAGTTAAGTTTAGTAAAGAAAATTTATTTCCATAAAATTATAATGTTTAGAATACAAGATAACGCGATTATACATATGTCCTACGAGAAACAAGATAGAAAGTGAAAGAAGATCACACAACTATATTGTAAATCGTTAAAAATATGTTATTCGTAAATGAAGTATTTAAATTTTTTTATTATGATTGATATTAAAAGAGAATTTAAGATAGCATAAGTTATACATTAATCTCTTATAATTTTTGGACTATTGAAGGCAATGTAAATCACACATCGATGTTACAAAAATTTGTATAATATGGAGAAATGATTGGTTATTTAATTTATCAAAATGAAAAATACGATTCAAGAAATTTTAAAATATGAAATTAATTTTATTTTAATAAAAAATAAATTTATTTGAATTGATTAAAGAATATATTCATTTAATAAAAAGATTAAAAATTTCACTTGATATATTTATATTATATAAAACCTAAGGTAACGTTGATATACATAAGTTTTATTAATTTATAACACGTAGTGGTAGAGTAGCTACACATTAATGTTGTAAATCGATATATATATATATATATATATATATATATATGTGTGTGTGTGTGTTGTATTATTTATTTATTTAATATATAAAAAGAATTCATTAATAAAAAAATATTTCTTATTTATTAAATAAATAGAAACAAAATACCCATATAAAATTAAACTACATCAATATTCTAAACTTACACAAAATAATAAAGAAAATGCTAAAGAACAAATAAACCAAAAAATAAACAAATGAGATAGGTACAAAACAAAAATTCAAGAATTATTGTGGAAATTTTTATTTTCATATTACATTTATATTATTCTACTTGATTTTTATTGCTTTAAATGATGAAGGAATAAATTTTATAAATAAAAATTAGAGGTCAAATGAAATATAAAAAGATAACTTTAAAGATATGCACAAAAGAAAAAAAAATGACATGTTTTTAGTAAAAAGGTTAAAGATAGTTTAAAAATAAATAAAAACAAAAAAAATGAATCTTTTCTTTATTTTTTATTAAAATAATAAATTAAAAATAAAAAAATAAAAAAAATAGACCCACTGTCCAAAGTAAGCTACGTGAGCTCAAGAATTCAAAGAAAAGAATAAAAGAAAAAAAAAATGGAGCCAACTCAACGCTACAAGGTTTCAGAAAATTGATTGTGTGTTGTAGGTTACAATTTCCCATTCTCGACATACAATGCATCTTTAATCAAATCACTCTTCATTTTAATAATAAAATAATAACAATATATTATTAAAAAAATTAACAAAGTGGTAAAATAAGCGTAAACTTTCATCTTTCTATTTTATTTTATTCATTCGCATAAAAAGAGAGTACATGAGTAAGGAAAGAACAATACCGTAGTATACTGATTTGAACAGCAAATGAAGATAATGAAAGAGATGAAATGGTGCAATTTCTTTTTCTTCCTTCAGTTTCTAATTTGTTTCTCTACTTTATTTTACTTGTTCTTTTCTCTTATTATGCCTTCTTTTGGTCACCACAGTTCTCTCCTTCCAATTTTTGAAGATTTATTGACTCTCTAAAAATTTTCTCTCCCGCTCTGAATAATAGTTATCGTCCCCCTTTCAAAACCCATTCACAACATCCATAGTTCTCTCTTTCCAATTTCATATGAGGACCATATTTTTACATTTTTCCTTCTTAAGCTTTAAAATTCATTGTGGATGTTGGGCTTTACTCTACACACTGCAAAATTTCTGTTTCCAAGGACTAGATATCCTTTTTCAAAATTTTCTATTTTTTCTACAAAACTATTTTATTTTATATTTTTAAAAAAAAATTGGATACAATCTTTAGGAGGCAAAAAATTGGTATTCACATTCCAGTTAATTGACATGGATGTAGAGGAGATGCATTGATATATAAGCTCAGATAAATCATAATTAAAGCCAATTTATTGAATAATGTTTCTTATGAAACTTCACCTAAGTTTGACAATCATGTACCCATTCCTATTGTTCAATCTATTGAAAGAGTGAACAATTTCTTGGAGAATTAATATATTATCAGTCCCTTGCTTACCTTTTATAAAACTAGTTTGATTTAGGGAGATTAGAAAAGGCATAGCTGCACTCATTCTCTTAGCTATTAGCTTAGTTAAAATTTTGTAGCTAGTATTACACAAAGAAATTGGTCTAAAATTACTTACATA